CCTGTTTGAGCTACAAAAAGGTCAGTTTCAATTTGTGAGGAGATCTTTCTGAAAAACAAACATGCAAGTGAAACATACAATATACACGCCGATTCTAACCTTATCCCCCGTGTGGATCTGGACATATTCTTCCCCCTCTCCCTTCCTTCCATCCTCTCTCAGTTCCTGAAAGCCCAGTCCTGCTGCAACATTGTCTTATCCATTCTGGGGCTACCTCCATCACGCCCCATAATGTCTTTACTCCTTCCTTCTAAGCAGGTCTGCTAGGGACTATCCTTGTCTCCAAGGGCTTGAGATCCAATGTAGCTGGCCAACGCTTGGAAACTCCGGAAATGGAGAACTGTGCGGAAGAAAGATTTGATGGAGTACAGACATGCTTGAGAGAGACTAAGAGAAGTAGCAGCAGACTGGCCCAAGCTGACCTGTGGGAGCCACCAGCTGGGGGAGGGGTGACAGAATCTAATAAGCTGATCGTCATTTCCACCTTTTTGACCATTTTGTCATGGCCCTATGTGCCCGGCGACCTCTGCAGGGAAAATGAGGTTCCCTGAACTGATGCCTCCTGGTCACCTTTAGCCTCCTCTGTTCTTACCCAGCAAGAACTGTGCACATGTTTGTGTCCATGTTAAGCCTCTGGTCAGAGTTTCAAAATGAAGGGTTTATAACAGCCTGCTAGATTTCTTGGGGAAGAGTGATATATTTATGTATTTTTCACACACACACACACACACACAAATACACATACATATATCATATTCCTTTTTCTTCTTACGCCCATTTTATAAACCTGGACTGTACTCTCATAATCTAGACCTTTTCCAAGAAATTTTTTTTTTTCCCAAGAAATATTTGCCCTTTTTGTCCTTCTGGACTAAAAATGGAGAAAGGAAAGAATCACCATGTCATTGTTCAGACAGAACCAGAAATAATACTGACTACAGAGCTGAACTTGGCCCCTATCAGAAGGGTTGCCTTACTTTTCTCATTATTTAAGGGGTGCAGAAGCCATCACATGCTTTCAAATGCATCTCAGTGAATGTTTATAGGGTTGTGGGGATCACATCCGTGGCTCAGTCTGCTTGTGAAATGGGGTTAGCGATGGCCATTCCTTTTTAAAAGATGCCAGGGAACTCCCCCACTTCCTCTCCCCACCCTGTCCCTCCAACCCCACCAAAGATTGACCTGTGAGGGCTCAGGCTGGGAGTCGGGACACCTGGGGTCTAACACAGGTGGACCTGTGTCCTTGCCCTGTCGTCCTTGTCCTCTAACTAGCTGTGTGACCACAGGCAAATCACATCCCATTCTGTTTTCTGTAAAAAGAGAAGATTGAGATGTACTCTCTGGAAATCCCACCACTTTCTACTGATTTACTTTTTTTTTTTCCTGATCTGCTTATTATATATATAAAAAAATATCACAGTGAGTGGCAGGATTGTGTACAATATGTGGCCTGAGGAAAGAGGGGCTGCTGCTAGCTGAGACCAATAGTTCGCTGCCGTAGGCTCCACAGAGACTGGAAAATGGCCCAGGGGCAAAGCTAGAAGGTTCGTTTAGAAGGGTCTGGAAGCTTTCTTGAGGGACTTGCCACTAACAACATGACATTGCCCTAAATGTAGCTATCTAGGGGGAGAAGTCAGTAGACCTCCAGGCCTCAGTGAGCACCTCTGCATGAACCCAGCCTCCTTCCCTTGGCCTCGTGCAGGCTCGGCCGGGCTTCGGGCTGGCTGTTGAAAGCGCTCAGCCTCACACCCGAAACACAGAGCCGAGGCCTCCAACAAAACCAAGTCTCTCTTAAGTCCATTGAAAAAGGGAAGCACAAAAGAGGCTCCCGCTTGCCCCGCTGAAGCCGAGCCCCGGCCAGCACCGCGCCCCCCCGACCCCCTGCTGCACCCTCAGGGACAGCAAGGCCGGCCCGGCCCCTGATTAGGCATCCTCCCAAAGTGTCCAGTGAGACATCCAGCTGCCGACTTCGAGCAGCCAGGGCGGCACCCACTTGGGCAAACTGGATTCCCCAGCAGTGGGCTAGCCCCCAACACCCTACAGGGGTGCCCCAGGGTCCACTTGGCTGTTGAGGAGCCGGCTGGGTGGGGAGCATAGGCTTGGCGGCCTGAAAAGTTGTATGCATAGGCCTCAAGAGTTAGAGACTACGTCCCCTTGCCCCGTGCCAGCGGTTCCTCCTGTGAGCTACTGCATCTCGTGGTCATGCCCAGCCCTCCCCCACCTCCTGCTACCCTGGTCCCAGCAAAGTGACGGCAGACGAACGACTAAGGAAAAGGTCCAAGAACCCACAGAGTCTGCTCCAGGCCTCCCTTCCATCCCGTTCCTCCCACTCCATCCTCCCCCTGCCTCGACTACGTGGACTTAAGCGTCGTGGCACCTGCATCTCAGTCTTGAATTCCCTGAAGGGGATCCGGGCTAGAACCCGCCCCCACTCATCCCTTATTGATCCATTTCATCCATTTCTACTTTCAATATATTGGAATTCTCTGAACTCCTTGGGAGAATGCCGATGAAACAGAATCAGTTTGGGACTCAGTGACTTGTTTGTGGGCTGGCCCATGATTGACTGAATGAATGGCCAGGAAAACATGTAGCAGAGCCCCCTGCACACCAGGTCATTTGGTTCATTTGTCCATTGATTCATTCAGCTGCTGTTTACTGAACACCTGGTGTGGGCCGAGACAGAGTCCGCTGCTCCCGGATGGAAGAGTGGGCACAGGTGAATGGAGAGGCCGCTTCTTGTGCCCAGCCCGTTCTTGCCGACCCCAAGAACCTCAGCCCCAGGTGGATTTGATGGCAGAGCTGCCCCTCAAAGTGCCCTTGTCCACGTTGCAGAGAAGAGGCAAAGAAGGAGGCAAGCTCCCTCACTCCAGTGGGTGGAGCCCTTTCTGTGGCAATGAGACAGTGTCCTCCCATCAGGGCGGGTCAAGGCCTCAGCTTGAGAGGCAGCTGAGGGGTCGGGGAGGGGGCCTGCATCTCTCTGGGCCCTGTTGCCCTCCAGCCAAGCAGCTCTGGGCAAGACCTTTCCCTTCCCTGGGTGTCAGAGCCCCTGTCTCTCCTAGGACGGGAAAAGGTCCCAATGGACCTTTTGGCATGGCATGGCTGCCCTTGGTAATGGCAGCCACGAGTTAGGGAGGGTTAGTTAGGGAGGTGCCGCAGGATCTCAGAGCAGCATCAATGAGATGAGGCATTTAGCATCAGAATCAGCCCAGGATCTTCAAAAAGACTCAGATCCCTGCCCCCCCCCCCTGCTCTGGACGAGAGTGAAACAGTTCATTCGGGGTGGGGCGCTGGGAATCTGGATATGTCTTGGGGAATCTGATGAGCACCAGAGCCCGAGATGTGCAGCCCTGGGGGAATCTCTTTGGATGTTCACTCTGTCATGACAGTCACGGCCAGTGTGGCACTAGCTGGGGGCCACCCACACACGTTGACCCCACCTCCCTCACCAGTGAGCCAAGCATGAGGAGACATCAAAGGACCAACAACAATTGTCCCAGTGAGACTTCTGTAGCTAAACAGGGGGATTCTTACACAAAAATTTGCTTCAGGAGAAACACGGTTGCCCCTTAAACAACACAGGTGTGAACGGCACAAGTCCACTTCCAGGCAGTTTTCTTCAGGAGAAATACAGGAAGGAACTGTGAATGCGTCTTCTCTTCCTTATGATGTTCTTAGTAACATTTTCTTTTCTCTAGCTCCCTTTGTTGTAAGGCTCTAATAACAATACGTAGAACATCCCAAATCTGTGTTAACCTACCCAAGGTTACCATAAGGTCCCCAGTCCACAGTAGGCTGTTAGTAGTTAAGTTTCAGGGGAGTCAAAAGTTACAGTTGGATTTCTTACAGCAGGGCCATTTTCAAGGGTCCTCCGTTTCCCTCCTCCCCTGTTGGCATGGAGGTGTTTTCCAAGCCCCTCTCTTCCTACACATTCCTCCCCTCCACCCCACTCGCTTTTCCCTCCACTTGCGGGTCACAGTCATTAACATGACAGCCACAGATGATTGTATGGAGCCTCGAACGAGTAGAAAATACTGCATCACGAACTGCTTTGTTCCCAAAGGCTATGCTTTTATAAACGGAGAGCAGCTCCCCCAAGGTGCAGATCGCAGATTGGGTCCTTTTCCTGTTGTTCCATATCTCCCCAACCTAAGGATGCACCTGCAGAGAGGAATTTCTTCTTTAGATAACTTTATACTTTGGGGGGGTGGTTATAAGTCATTCTCAGTAAAAACAAACAAGCAATTCCAAACCGTAGAGAATAGAAAGGGCCTCGCCAGTCACCCCCAAGAGATGACTGCTCCAAATGGTCACATATATGTTCTTCCAAGCGATTTTTGCATGTACGTAGCAGAGTGTGTGTGTGTGTGTGTGTGTGTGTGTGTGTGTGTGTGTGTAGAAATAGAGGTGCCCGTGCCCCTATGATCGGTCTGCAACTTGTGTTTCCCCTAAACAGGATAGCTCAGCCAGCTGCCCCAAAGCCCACAGCCAGATCTGCTTTCCTCCAAAGGCTCTATTGTGGTCCCATTGCAGACCTTAGTCTGATGCATTTAACCAAGACAGGGAGGCAATCTAAAAGTTCAACGTCTACATTAGGCTTTTCCTTCTTAGTAATGGGGGTCTCTGTAGACAGGTCCTTGCAGTGTGCCCTCAAACGCCCGTCTAGGACACAGTTCTTTCCGTGGCTTCCACACAGCCGAACTGAGCTCCCCCTTACGCGGGCAGAGAAGATCCTTTGTGGGACTTCCTGTGGTGTTCGGTACACAGACAGCATAATTCCTAATTCGAAGTGTAACAAGACAGTTTACATGAAACACAGCAACAAAGAAGCAAGCATTAGGGTTCCCAAAATAGGCTGTATTATATAGTTTTGACAACTATAAGTCCCGAAATGGAGAGATGTTTTATCTTGCAAGTTTCCTGTTCATTAGCTTTCATGTGCCAAGGCCTTATAAAAATTTCTCTCTCCCTCTCTCTTTCTCTTTCTCTTTCTGCCACAGGGACCCGTTAAAAGGAGACAGGAAGGAGACGATTTCCAGTTTCCAGGCATGGCTGATGGGGGTTACCCTAATAAAATCAAGAGGCCTTGCCTGGAAGACGTTACCCTTTCTATGGGCCCGAGTGCCCACCCCAGCACGGCCTGTGTGGAACTGCAGGTTCCTCCGCTAACGATGAACCCCAGTGCCACAGCCATGGGAGGAGCGGGCCATTCGTTACCCCTTGAGACGAATCCCATGAACGGCAGCGTCATGGGCTCGCCATTCGTGGTGCCGCCGGCTGCAGAAGTGGGACTGAAAGGACCCCCTGGGCCCTACTATGACAAAGCCAACAGCGTGCCGGCTGTGGACCAGGAACTTCAAGAACTCCTGGAGGAACTAACAAAAATTCAAGAACCTTCTCCGAATGACCTCGATCTCGAGAAGATCCTGGGCAGCAAGCCGGAAGAACCACTGGTCTTAGAACACCCGCAGGCGACCCTGGGTACCAATCCCAAGCCTCCAGTGCAGATGCCCCACTTGGAGAGCCTTGGTACCAGCAAAGAGTTTGCTTCGAGTTGCAGCCAGCTCACGGGGGCAGGGCCGTCGCTTCAAGTCCCGCCCTCCCCGGCTGGGATCAGCTATGGGATCCCCCCGCCAAGTAAGCAGGGGGCCTCGCCCAGCTCTTCGGTGGCACATGCCAAGAGCCAGGCCCCGGGGGTGCCCCCGGCCGCTTTGCCCCCAGTCCCAGTGCCGCAGTGGCATCACGCCCACCAGCTGAAGGTGCTGGCGGCCAGCAAGCAGGGGTCCGCTAGTAGACCGCAGGCGCCCAGCCCCAGCTGGTCGGGCCTGCCACCTCCGGGCATGTCCCCGTCTTACCGCCCGGTACCATCTCCGCAACCGCCACCGCAGTTCAGCCCTCAGAGCCTCATGGTGTCCTGCATGGCGTCCAGCAACCTGCCGGGGAGCGCCTTCCAAGCCTCCCCCAATGCCTTACTCGCCAGCCTGGCGTCCGGCGGCACCACTGCCCTGGGGCCCGCCATGCTCTACACTCCTGAGAAGCTCCCCAGCCCTGCTCTCAGTCAGCAGGCGCAGTTCAACCCACAGAGCTCCATCCTGGCCAACCTGGTGTCCTCCGGAGTCAAAAGTCCTCCAGGGCACCTGCTGTCCGCCCTGCCTGCCAGCAACGCGGGGCCCTCCCCCCCCTACCGGCCGGAGAAGCTCTCCAGCCCGGGCTTGCCGCAGCAGTCCTTCACTCCGCAGTGCTCCCTCATCCGGAGCCTCACACCCTCTGGCCACCCGCTAACGCAGCCGCCGCCGCCGCCCCCGCCGCCCCGGCAGTCAACGAGCACCATCTTTAAGCCCTTGACCAACGACTCATCCAAAACCCTGAGCGTGATCATGCAGCAGGGGCTGCCCAGTCCCGGCCCTGGAATCCCGGAGCCCTTTACCTTCGGCAACACCAAGCCCCTGTCGCACTTCGTTTCTGAGCCGGGCCCCCAGAAGGTGCCCCCTGTGCCCGCCACCTCTAGGCAGACGTCCCTGCTCCACTACCTGCAGCAGGCACCGCCGGCCTCTTCCACCACCACCTTGTCCACCGCTACTGCCACTTTGCTGCCACCACTGCCGCAGCCTGACCACTCATCATTCCTTCTGCACCAGATGATGCAGCAGCCCCAGCGCTTTCAGCGGCTGGGGGCGCGGGACTCCATGCCTTCTCTGCCCAGACAGGTAAGACGATCTCATGTCCAGTGGCGGTCCTTGGTTCTGGAACTAAGAACCGTGTCTTATGCTATTGGCGACCTGGCTCTGGAAGCAAACGTGGCTGTAGTCCTCTCTGAGCCCAGACTTGACTCGGGAAAAGTCTATTTCAGCCAAATTCCGTGTGGTCCAACTGCAGTATTAATGAGGCCAAGGTTATGGTTTCAGTTCCTGTGTGGGCCACTTAACTCCTCTGGGAGGAAACGTGTACCCAGAAGGTGCTGCCAGGGGAAGGGGACCAGGGGAAGGCAAGGCTCTGCCCTGCGCCGCGTGGCGTGTTCCCTCACCCAAGGCTAGCAGACACATTGCAGGATGCAAGGAAATTGCACCGAAGCATTTAAATCTTGTCCCTGCTGGCATAAGGCTTGCACATGGAGCCTTCTAGAAATGGCCCAGCAAACTTCTGCTGAGCAGGTTCCAAATGAAAAGGACAGGTACGTAGAAAGTAGTTACTCTTAGCATCTCCATTCTACAAAGAAACTGAGGCTCAGAGAGTTGAAATGACTTGCCCAGAGTCATACAGCCAGGGGCAGAGCAGGAACCGGAAACCAGGAAGTCTTAGTTCAGAGCCTGTGCTCTTCCCAAAATCACTGTGACTTCTCCCTCTCCCTCATCTCCTACAATCTGACCGCTAGACTCAGCTGGTCCTTCCTGAGTGGTGTGGACCACAGTTGGCCCTCGTCAGTGCTCCAGTCGCTGCCTGTGTTGGTTATCCACTCAGGAAGTGGAATGGGTTGTCTCTTGCCGGGTAACAGATTACTCCAAAACATCTGCTTAAAACAACACACGTGTATCACCTCACAGTTTCCGTGGGCCAGGAGTCCTGGCATCACCTAGCTGGGTCTTTTGACCGTGAGTCGCTTGTAAGTTTGTGGTCATCTCCAGCTCAATCAGGAAGGTTCTCCTTCCAAGTTCACTCCCGAGGTTGTTGGCAGGAAGCAGTTCCTTGCAGGTGGTTGGACTGAGGCCTCGGTTCCTCATGAACTCTTGGCTAGTGGCCTCCCTTGGTTCCTTGCCATGTGGGCCTCCTCATAGAGCATCTCACAACATGGCAGCTGGTTTCATCTGAGTAAGCAAGACAGAATGTGCCAGCAAGAGAGGAAAGGGAGTGCCAGCAAGTCAGAGGTCACGGTCTTTAGAACCTCGTCTTGAAAGTGATGTCCCACCTCTTCTGCTCTATTTTGTTCTTTAGATACAAACATAAGGTGTGACTACCAGAAGGCAGGGGTCACTGGGGACCATGTCAGATGCCTGCCTACCCAGGGTGCTGTTTATCCTGGTCCCTCCTTTGGGGAGGGATCTCAGCCCTCCCTGAGTTCAGGTCCTCTTGGCTCTTTGTCTGAACTCAGAGTTGTCTCTTAAAGTGGTTTCCCCCAATAAAGCAGCCATCACTGCAAACACTACCTTCAAGTGACCACATATAACAGAGAACTGACCGTGTTTCACATTTGCTCAGAAGTTTCCAGAGGCTCCATGTGCCTTCTTAGACTCAGTACTCTTCAGGCCCATCTGGCACTTGACTTCTATCATCCGGAATGCTCGTAATTCCTGGCCCACTCTGCATTTGCAGCCTTACTCCTGCCATTCCCTCTTCCTGGCTGTCCCTTCCCACCTTCTGGCTCCTATCCCACTCCTACAGCTCCTAAGGTGCCCTCCCCTCCAGGAAGCTTCTCCAGACAGTCCCGGGTACTTCCATCTCCCATGCGGGCTCCCTTTTCTGTAGAGAAGCCGAGGAGGACAGCTTGGCCAGGGACCTGGCCTGTGGGAAGTAGCTGTCGGGGCTGACCTCTATTCTGAGGGCCCCGGATGAGTGTGACCAGGGCAGCCCCTGGAGGATAGGACCCGTGTCTTTTTCCTCCATGCCTCATGAGAGCTCCACACCTGGGAACCAGTCCTCGGTGAAGTGTTCTGACAGGTTGGTTGAACATTAAACGCAGTAATACATCTAAAGATTTTTGAACGGGGTCTCGCGGCACGAGATACTTGCCAATGACGGTTTGTTATCACTAAGACTAACTCTTGGCCCTGAGTCTCCAGATCCCGTTTCTGGGGGCTGAAATGTGGCCCTCGAAACTGATGCTGTGTGGGGACGGCGGAATACAAGCGGTGCTCCCTGCAGGTGGACAGCGGTTGTGGCGCCTGCTGACCACGTGGTTCTCCCTGTTCTGGGCTCAGCCCCACTGAGGCAATTCCCGGCCTGCTGGAAAAGGGAACTGGCCATCTTCACCCCACAGGCAGGGGTCTCTCGCTCGGTGCCCCTTGCCCAGCTCCCGTATTTCTCAGCTCTGGCGAGTTCGGTGGACCGTTTGTTTGCACTGAAGGGAAAAGGCAAATGCCATCTGGCAGTTCAGCGTGGCAGCTGAAGCGAGGGCATGGGGGTTCAAGTCCAGGCGCTGCCACTGACCGGGCTCTGTGCCGGGAGCAACATCACTCAGCCCCTCTGAGCTGAAGTAGCCCAGAGCCCAGCACACGCTTTGTGGTCAGTCGGGGCTGGTGCGGACCCCGGGGCTGGAATCGACTGCCTCCCGGCGTGGATGCGTTTCCAAATTCAGAACATTAGGGACTTTAGAAAGCTAATATGGTGCTTTTGCCAAGTATCACGTGAGCCTCTGGCGGAACCTGGGGCAGCATTTCGTTATTCTTACGGAAAACTATGAATAGTTCCCAAAGTCCACAACCCATTTTTGTCCCCAAATAAATTCCGACGCCAAACTTACCAAAACAAATAGGCTTTTCGAGCTTTTTGGGTTTGAAATTACAGATAAGGAAAGCGGACCTGGAATTATGAAAGGAGGGCAAGTGCAATTATGAAAGAAGGACTCCCCTTGGAGTCGGGACAAGTGGCCATGGCATGTGGGATTGTCATAGCCTCCCTGTGTCACCCAGGCCTCTGACATCTCTCTGCTCTTAATCAAGTTGAATCTTGTTTCCAAAACTTAGGGCTCCTTCTCCTTGAAGGAGCTCCTCGCAAAAATCAGTCGGAACGCTGTGAGTGGAACTTAGATTTGCTCAGAGATGCAAACAGGGCCACTGAGGAGGCAGCTTGAGGGCCCCCAGTGCACATGGTTTGCAGAGCTGGGAGCACAGTGTCCTGGGGAGGAGGGATGTGGACGGTGGCCAGTTGGAATAAGAACAAAAAGGCCCGAAATCTGATCCTTGAGGCAGGCCGAGGCACAGGGGAAGGGGGCAGCTGTGGAGAAATGGACCAAAGAGGCCCAGGACATTGTTTGGACAGATTCTGAGAAGGGCAGGAGGGGAACCAAGCCTGCCTTGAGGAAGGCAGGATGAGGCGCCTCCGGGGTTTGCTACGATTTCTACCTTTACCCATGAGCCTCCCGTCCCGTCAGCCGCAGCAGCGGTGAACACCAGGAATCACGGAGACAGTGGGTGAAACGAGAGAACTCACCATCTTGCCTCCCTGACGGGCTGAGCCGGCCGTGGGGATCTGGGCAGCTTGGTCTGAAGTGGCGCCTCAGCCGTTGGGGGGTGTAGCACCCCCAGGGCCCGAGGCCTGAGGGAGATGACACTGGGCAGGGGACATGGCAGTGGGGGACGGGTGTGCTTGGCGGGCGGCAGGCCCCAGCCCTGGGCTTGAGGCCAGGTTCAAGGGGACCCAGGATTTGGATCCCTATTGTCCTGATCCCAGCTCTGTTACTTTTTATTTTGGCAAGCTCTTTTCCCTCTCCGGGTCATACTCTCCCCATCTGTAAGCTGGAGATACTCGTATCCCTGTCTAATGGCGCTGCTGGAAGGATTAAAAGAGGTGAGGCACAAATGCTGGGTGTAGGGTCTGGTTCACAAAAATGCTCCATGGATGTTAGCTGCTGCTACTTCTAGAAAGTCCCTGAAACTTACAACACCAGTAACCCAGTGGAATGGGTTAGACTGCCTCAGTGTCCAGGTTCCTCTCTAGCTGTTGGCAGGGGAGGGGCAGTGGGTCAGGGAGGGCATTTGCCAGGTGGCTGAAGAGAAGTCAAGTAGAGGACACGAGTCGGTGACCCCAGGAAAGAGCCGAGCTGCTGAGCCCGGCCATAGCTTTCTGAGCACCCCTGGCCGGAGAGAAGGGGAGAACGTTGGCTGCCCCTCCCTCCGAGCACAGACAGTAGAAGTGGGGCCCAGGATGGCTGCTGACAGGCACAGAGAGCCAATGGCAGGGCGAGCACAGGCTAGCCTTGCTGGTCACCCAGCGCCGGTGCCAGCAGAAATGCTGCTTCTGCCTTGTCACTGGCATTGGGGGGATGGGTGTCCCCTGTCGTCGCTGTGTTCTTAGAGACTTGCTTGGGGCCCCAGATGGATGCCAACACTCGGAGCACCCCTGCTGAAACTGCAGGGCTGCCTCCCCCCTCCTCTTTCCTCCCCTCCACCATTCACACCCACTCCCGAAGCCTCCCACAAGAACCTTTGCCAAAACTCAAGATTCCTCTTGGTTTGAATTTCCAAGGCTATGCTCACCTGCTCAATAGAGCAGAACCTTTAATTACTGCTGTCTTGGTTAGCACTGCAAATTAAAATCTTTACATTTGCACCATGACCCCTCATGGAAAACAGAATGATAAAAACCAGGCTAGACCAAGACAACTGTCTCTCCTTGTCAAAGTGACATCGGCTCCACTTTCCACCCGAGAAAGATTCAGGAGAGGCACCGTGTAACGATTCAACAATTCTACATGCTAACTCGGTGCTCATCACAATATGTGTACTTTTGAGACTAATATGACACAGTGCGTTAATTATACTTGTATAAAAAAACTTTAAATTTTTTTAAAAATTCAAATTTAAGAAAAAGAGAGGGAGAGTTGGGAGTGATGGTGGTCCTGGGGAGCCTCCTTCCAGTCTCAAATTGTTCATAAGCATTGGAAAGTGGGTGACAGTTCTCTTGCTAACATACCGGACCCCCCTCCCCCCCACTCCCGGGAATCAGATGTACCACATATTGTCAGGGAGGACCTGTGACCTTGGACTTGCTGGTC